TCACCCTCCCCCAGCCCACTGCCTGTGCCTCCACTGGCTGAAAACTCACATGATGGGAGACATGTAATATCCAGTTGTCCATAAAGTGGAGAGAGTGCAGAGTGTACTGCCATGTGGAGTCATTGAAGAGAACAATACAGAACACCTTCAAAGGGATGCTGAACAAATGAGTGAGGGAAAAGCAATAAATGTGCTGATGGGATGAGATGAAACAAATGCAACAGGAGAAGGCCCATGCACAGCATAAACACTTGGGCTGAATGGCCTGTCTCTTTGCTGTAAATTCTATGTCTTCTGTCTCAGCATGAACCTCAGAATTGTACAGCACAGAAGGCAGCCAACGTTGCCTGTGACAACACTTTGTGAGAAATTTCAAAAACAAATCCGCTGCCTCCTGGCTCCTTGTGGTCTTGTATCTTCCTCTGCTTCAAGTATTTATCCATTTCATATTAAAAAGATATTCTGGTTGCTGCTTCCATCGGTCTCTATGGCAAAATATTCCATGTTCTAATAACCTGTTGTTCTAATAACCCGCTGTAGAGAAATCTATCCCAATCTTTCTCTGTGACAATTTAAAATCAATTACCCATTGACGTTGATTCCAAAACCAGGGGGACTCATCTTTCTTTATTCATGCTTGAAAATTAAAATACACTCTTTGCCTCTCTTCTGCTCCAGAAGAAATAGCCTCTGTGACTCAGTTTCATTTGCAAAACCTTAAGATATATAAAGCAATACTGCAGCTGTGTCCATCTGAAGCAAAATGTGGACTTCTTTTTAATTCATTTACAGGATGTGGGTGTTGCTAGCTGGGCCAGCATTTATTACCAGAGGGCAATTAAGAGTCATCCATGTTGCTTGGGTCTGGAGTCACATGTAGGCCAGACCAGGTAAGGATGGCAGAATCTTTCCTCAAAGAGTATTAGTGAACCAGATGGATTTTTACAACAATCGACAAAGGTTTCATGGTCATTAGACTCCTAATTCCAGATTTTTATTGAATTCAAGTTTCATCATCTGCAATGGTGAGATTTCAACCTGGGATTCCAGAACATTACCTGAGGATGATGGTTTAGATTAATAGACTAGCGATAATACTACATGGCCATTGTCATATAGGTCCAGACTTGGACTTATAAATAGCAAGCAACATTCACACCGCACAAACCTCAGAAAATAGCCATTTCGAGTAAAGGGAGAATCTGACAACCTCATCTGCCATTGTCAAATCCCCCACCATCACCATCCTGAGGATCATCTATAACCAGAAACAAAAGTGCTGGAGATCACAGCAGGTCAGGCAGCATCCATGGACAGAAAGCAAGCTGACATTTTGAGTCCAGATGACACTTTATCAGAGGTGACGTGAAGTGTGGAGGGGGCAGCATTTATGTAATAGTGGGTATGATGACCATGAATCCATTGTTGATTGTTGGAAAAACCCATCTGGTTCACTAATGTCCTTTAGGGAAGGAAACTGCCATCCTTACCTGGTCTGGCCTACCTGTGACTCCAGACTCACAGCAATGTGGTTGACTCTTAACTGCCCTCTGGGCAATAAATGCTGCCTAGCCAGTGATGCCCTCATCCCGTGAGGGCAGAGGACAGAGAATATAACAAATAAAGCTAAAAAAAAGGAAAGAAATGGGAATGAGTTCACAATCTGAAGGTGTTGAACACAATATTGAGCCCAGAAGGCTGTAAACTGCCGAGTTTGAAGATGAGATGTTGTTCCTCCAGTTTGTGCTGTGATTCACTGGAACACCGCGGCATGCTGAGGACAAACAAGTGGGCATATGGGCAGGGCGCTTTGTTAAAATGACCGGCTATGGGAAGGTTGGGGTCATGATTGAGCACGGATGCGGCCTGACCCGCTGTAATTTCCAGCATTTTTTGTTTTCAGCACAGATTCCGGTATCAGCAGTAATTTGCTCCAACAGAAGTTGCCTGTCCATGTAAATACTGTGACTACAAGAGCAGGTCAGAGGCTGGTGATTCTGCAGCGAGCAACACTCTCTCACCCTCTAAAGCTCTTCCAGCATCTAAAATACACAAGTCAGGAGAGTGATGGAATACTCTCCCCTTGCCTGGATAAGTGGAACTCCAACAACACTTAGAAAAAACGTAATAGCAGCCAAGACAAATGAATTCACTGTCTCTACTGCAGATGCATAGTAGCCATATTGTGCCATCTACAAGATGCACTGCAGAAACTTGCCAAAGCTCCTTAGACATCACTTTCCAGACCTGAAATCTCTACCACCTAGAAGAACAAAGGCAGCAGATACATAAGTACAAATCCATCTTTATGTTCCCTTCCAAGCCACAAAACATTCCGGTTTGGAACTATATCACTGGTCTGTCACTGTCGCATGGGTCAGAATCATTGAGGTCTCTCTTTAACGCTTTGTGGGTATATCAATATGAAACAGACAGACTGTAATTGTTCAAGAAGGCAGCTTACCACCATCTTCACAAGTGGAAAAACGTATGGACAATGGTTGCTGGCTTTACCTGCAACACCCAAATCCTGAGAATGAATAAGTCAAAATAAACTCAAGTCTTTCTTCAAACTATATTTTTCCATCCCTCGCAGGAGTAGCCCTCAGATCGTCTATGACAGTGGAACAAGACCGATATATGGAATAGCTGATTCTACATAATTTCTAACGTTTAATGTCCTGTATAATGGTGCCTAAACTGTATATTGTATTCTAAATGTGACTCAACTATTGTCTCATGCAATTTCACCGTCACCTCTTCACTCTTACTATTTTTAAAACTGTGTCTTTAGGTGAAATGAAAAAAGAAAGAAAAAAATTGTGAAGAGATTGTTGAACAAGCCCTTGAAATGTGTAGGAGTGACTTTCGACCTAATTGGGGAGCAGACAACTGGTGTAATTGGACTGAGGGCCATTGTATATCATCAAAATGAATAGAAAGTTACCTCTGGCAAGTATGTATAATAGGTCCCATTCAATAGTGACAGATTACTGTCATTTTCAAAGTTTAACATTAGCCACTGTAACAGTAACTTATAAATTGTAATAGTAACACATGCAAATTCACCATCATCATCATGTGATCTTATACTATTAAAGAATTAAGGTGTCTCATCTGTCCGATGTAAGTAAGTTATATATGGAAAAAGGTAACAGGTGACAAGGTACTAATCTCGTAAGATGCAGGTGGCATCACCATACATGAAAAGTAAGGCTCAAGCGGTTTGCTTTTGTTTTGAGGCAACTTCTTACCTGCTTCTCCTGAGTTAATTCTGAAACTTATGGGTACCAGTGGGGATTAGAATGCATTGTTGACACAGAAAATAACGTGATTTAATTTGATTGGTAATTTAATTTAATTTGAGCAACAATGAGGAAGGCAAATGGAATGTTGGGCTGTATTTCAAAGGGAGTAGAGTATATGAATAGGGAAGTCTTGCTGAAACTACACAAGGCACTAGTTAGACCATACCTAGAGTACTGTGACCAATTTTAGTTCCCTTATCTAAGGAAAGATATATCTGGTATTGGTGGTAGTGCAGAGTCACTAGGTTGATCCCAGATATGAAGGGACTGTCTTATGGGGACAGTTGCTCTTGTACTCATTGTACTCATATACAAGATTATTTGGAGGCTTGACAGGTTAGATGCGAAGAGGTTGTTTCTCCTTGCAGGAGAGCCTAGGACTAGACAACATAATCTCAAAATAGGAAGTTGCCCATTAAAAACCAAGATGAGAAGGATTCTTCCTCTCAACTGATAATGAATCTGTGGAATTTTTTAATGCCAGAGCCCTGTAGAGTTTGAGTCAGTGAGTACATTCAAGGCTGAGATAGACTGGTTTTATAATCAGTAAGTGAATCAAGGATTATAGGGAAAGGTAGAAAATGAAGTTGAAGACTGGTATATTAGCTCGGTTGGATAGATGACTGGTCTACAAAACAGAGTAATGCCAACTGTGAGAGTTCATTTTGTGCTACCAGCTGAGGTTACCCTGAAGGATTCTCCTTCTCAACATCTTCTTGTCTGAGGTATGGTAACCCTCAGATTAAACCATCACCAGTTTCCCCTGTCTAGTAAGGGAGTACCACAAGTCATCGCCCTCACTCCCTACAGCCTAGTCAAACTATAGTGACTTATCTGTAACTCAAAAATTGATTATTTGGTCATTATTGCATTGCTGTTTAAGGAAGTTTGCTGTGCACAAATCTGCTACATATGACAATTCCTGATAATCCATTTATTGGATGTAAAGTACTTTGGTATGTCCTAACCTCAACAAAGATGCCATATAATTGCAAATATTTTCTTGTGTACTTTAAAACTAACAAGCTTTCAGTCACCTGTCCTGACTCCTTAAGTTCCTCAATTTGGTTTTTATAATACTCCAGCCAACAACATTGCAACATTTTACAATGATAAAAGTGCTACATAAAGATGAGCCAGCACAGACATGATAGGCTGAACGGCCTCCTCCCCTGCTGTAACAATCATGAAGTTACTAGTTTGGTTTTGAGAAAAAAAAGTGAGTACTGTGGATGCTGGAAATCTGAAAAAAAAAGAAATAGCTGGAAAAACTCAGCAGGTCTGGCAGAACAGACCTGTGGACAGAAAGCAGATTTAATTTTTCAGGCCCAGTGACCCTTCCCCAGAACTGAGTTTCTGCTTTCTCTCCGCAGATGTTGCCAGACCTGCTGAGTTTCTCCAACTCTTTCTTGTTTTTAAGAGCAACTAAGTGTGGCCACCACTGAACTACAACCCCCAGAATGCTTAGCGTCCACGCTTGCGCAGCAACGTAACTTGCAAAGTTACCTGCTATTGGGTAAAGTGCTAGGACGCAGTGACCAATGAACCGTCGCAGCGTTGGTGGGTGGGAGGGTAGGCCTCAAACCGGAGCCTGAGCGTCGAGTGCGGGGATGAGTTTCGTGAGGGCGGTGGTTCGGGGTTGCAGGTACCCGGGGGATGAGCGGGGAGAGGGAGGGTGAGCAAGATCAAAGGGAGGGGGAGGAATAGAACAGAAATTGATTATCGTGCGTACTTTTACGTGAAAGATACAGTGAAAATTTTTAAAACTTGTCCTACCTTGGCGCCTACATCAATGACAGAGGTCATACATAATAATAAAAGGATGTATGATTAAAATAAAGGTCATCACAGTTCAGCTCCTGGGCCCAGGGAAAGCCAGTTAAGGAATAATAAAATACCCTGAGGATGTAGGCAGGATGAGAGTGCCATGCCAAGCCACTGGAATACTGGGCCAGAAGTCTCCGCTGAAGAAGACCGCCAGGCCAGGCCGAGACCGCCAGGCCGGGCTGAGATCACCGCCCTGGGCCGAGACCGCCAGGCCGGGCTGAGATCACCGCCCTGGGCCAAGACCGCCAGGCCGGGCTGAGATCACCGCCCTGGGCCGAGACCGCCAGGCCGGGCTGAGATCACCGCCCCGGGCCAAGACTGCTGCCCTGGGCCAAGACCGCCAGGCCGGGCTGAGACCGCCGCCCTGGGCTGAGACCGCCGCCCTGGGCCGAGACCGCCGCCCTGGGCCGAGACCGCCAGGCCGGGCTGAGATCACCACCCTGGGCTGAGACCGCCAGGCCGGGCTGAGATCACCGCCCTGGGCCGAGACCGCCGCCCTGGGCTGAGACCGCCAGGCCGGGCTGAGATCACTGCCCTGGGCTGAGACCGCCAGGCCGGGCCGAGACTGCCAGGCCGGGCCGAGACTGCCAGGCCAAGCCGAGACCGCCGCCCTGGGCCGAGACCGCCAGGCGTCTGAGACTGCTGCTCCGGGATGAGACCCCCAGGCCAGACCAAGACCCCAGGGCAGGCCGAGACCGCTGCTCTGGGCCGAGACTGCCACTTCTGCTCCTTCAGGCGCCTGGGCCTAAGTGCAGAACCGGAGCCTCAGCCTTCGCTGGTGAGACTGGGCCGGCGGAGTCAGCCCGGGACCTGCTTCTCGCTCGCCAGAAGACCCCGGGCTGGATGGAGTTGTGCCCAGCTCGTCCTGGCATTGCTATCGTCGCTGTCCAAGAAAGGAAAGAAAAAGAGCAAAAGAAAAAAAAGAGAGAAAGCCGAAGGGAGCAGATCAGCCCCCACCCTAGTCTGCCACCATCCAGTGGGGTAGGTGGGGCAGGGGGGAGGGTGAGGGTGTTGCCCCCAAGCCTCTAGCCTCCCTTCTCCTTGGAGACTCTGACTGCCACAAAGCTTGGCCACTCCCCGCTTTTAAACTGTCTCTGGTGCCTTTTGATAGATGGCATGGGCAGCAAATGACCACAGCTATTCAACTGCTGGAGCCTCCTCACCCTAATTCACCCGCACTGACCGATAGGGAGTGCTGCCATGCCATCTCTTACCACCCCTGGTGGACAGAAGGTACAGTTGCAGGTGGCAGGGGACATTGGATGCTGTTGGATATGATGCCACACATAGTCAAAGAGCTAGCCTGGACTCTCTAACTGAACTGAGATGCAGTGGCTGAGGTTTTCCTGCGGGTGATAGGGAGATTGGTAGAAAATGGCAATCATTCTGGGAGGAAGATATTTGATGCCCACATAAGAGGTGATTAGGATTGTCTTTGTGCTTCGAAGTGGTAATCGGTTATCATAAAATGGTTATAGAACAGAAGGCAGCCATTTGGCCTGACATATCGACTAGAACAATCATTTACCCCACCCACCTCTTTTCCTTGTATTGTTTCTGTTTGGATAAGTTTCCAATTATCTTTTGAAACCACAATTGAAGCTGCTTTCACCACTCTCTGAGATCGCACATACCACCTTCCAATCATTCACTTTGTAAAAGAAGGTTTATCCTCAGGTCACCATGACTTCTTGAGCAAATATTTTGGTTTAGGACCCTTTTCCCAATGGATACATTTTCTCCACGTCTCCTTTGTACAGACCCGTAATCTTTTTGTACCTGTATCTAATTTCCTAATTCTTCCTGAAGGAGGCTAGACAGAGTTTCCCAAACATAATGCCTCTCAGCAGCCTGTCAAAACTTCCTACAGTGTGGAAGCAGGCCATTTGGCTTGAATCCACACCAACCTACCGAAGAGCATCCGGCTCAGATCCCCCACCCTATCCCTTTAACCCTTTATTTCCCATGGCTAATCCATCTAATCTGCACATTTTTGGACTTGAATGGAAGAAGTCTGCAGAATTCTGTGGCTCAGAAGGTTGCTGTGCAGTTACACCAAGTGATTAGGAAGGCAAATGGCGTGTTGTTGGCAATTGTTGTTCATTGCAAGGAGTATGGATTATGAAAGTAGGAAACGTTTTGATGCAATTGTACATGGCATCGGGGAGGCTACGTCTAAAGTGCTGTATATAGTTTTGGATTGTTTATGGATGCTGAAAAGCATGTTTCCCTGTGTGGAATAGTCTGGAACTGAAAGACGCATCTTAAAAGTAAGAGGCCTCCAATTCAAGAGATCCTTGGACCTCTCTTCCTAGAGAGTGATGGTGCTGGGGTCATTGAGTTTTTTGATGTTCATTGAATAGTGGATCAGGCTTGAGGGGCCGAATGGCATACTCCAGTTCCTAATTTGTATGTTCGTAAGTTATTTAGACAACTGAATTCCCTCATTCCTGGAACAATGTACATGAATCTTTTGAAAGCCTTCCTATCCTCCCTAAGGTGTGATGCCAAAAACTGGAAGCAGCCCTCTAGTTGCAGCTGAATCAGTGTTTATTAAAGATTCATCGTAATTTCCTTACTTTTTTTACTCTCTGCCTCTCTTTGAAAATCCCAAGATCCCAAATGCTTGACTAACCACTTTATACTATTTTTAAACAACAAAGTTGGGTTCAACAGCTCCTGATGGGGCACTAACCGCTTTCTGAACCCATTTCGCCACATCCATTGAGCACAGAATCATGCAGAGGTCAGCATTTCGCTGGTGGGATCTGACAGGAACAGAACCTTGTATCCCAACTGGCTTATGCTGGTGTTTATTTTCCCTAGAGGTCCCTGGAAGGGCTGATAATAAAAAGTATTTTAAGCTAAATACTTCAAATGTCTTTGAACAAAAATTATGTCCTGCATTTTCCTTATTTTTAATGCTGTGATGATGAACACATTTGGTAAACTATGTTGATAAACACCTAACCAGAAATTAAATTGAGGGTTAATAAGATAGAGAGAGAAATAACAGATGTAATTCTGTTCCCATCTAAGAATCTTACATCTCTCCCCCTGTTTTGTAACCATGCTGTTACAAATTTCACATTTCTAGGTAAACTTATCATGCTGTAATTCCAATTGGGCCAAAGGAGGTATGGAGAACATGTTTCTGTTAACGGAAGAGTCGAAAACCAGAAGGCATTGGTTTAAGAAGTAATGGTGACATGAGGATGAAGCATTTTTGTTTAAACACAATGAGTGTTTAGAAGGTGATATGCACTGCCTCAGTGAATGGTGAAGTCAGCTTCAATTGTGACTTTCGAAAGAAAATTGGGTAATTATCTGAAAAGAAACAATACTGGGAAGAGCGGTGAGGGGAATCGAGCTGAGTTGCTCATGCAGATCGGACAAATCAAATGGCCTTCTTCTGTACAATAATCATTTTATGATAACTGTTTGTCCCTCCCAAGCATAAAAACATTCCTTAACCACCTATTACAAGGTTAACAACTGGCCTAGAGCATCTTCCTCCCCATAACAATCACCATTTTCCACTAACCTGTACCAATTGGAATGGGAAATGTTGTATAGTTCATGAAGGAAGTTTCCATTATACATAAATGCTAAGGCATTTATAATGGTAAAACCTGGCACTAAACAGTTTTAATATATGTAAAGTTAGTGAGACATTCTGGAGTAATGCTTCACGTAACTTTCGGGGTGTCGATGGGGGCTGGTGATGAAATATGGGCAGGTAAAACTTTTACAGAAAACTCCAGAAATGAAATGGAATAAAATACAGCAGGAGTTAGAAATTTGAAAAACAGAAAATGCTGAAAATACTCAACAACTCAAACAGCATCTGTGGAGAGAAAAACAGAAACCTTTTTTGAAAAGTCCCTGAAATGTTAACTGTATTTTGTATTCTGTAGACCCTGCCAGCAATGAAATTAGGAGTCAGCAAAAGACGGATTATACCTGTTTTGCTGTCCTCTTGGTCTCTCTCTAAGTGAGATTGCTATATGGGCTTTAAATCAAAAAATAAATTAGACTGCTGACTGTATCCAAATGGATTTGAGTCTTTCCAGCTGGCAGGAGAGAGTGAGAGACAGTCTTGTTCCATTATTCTGGAGTTGAACTCGGCAAGTAGCCAAAGCTAGGTTTTATATTGCCCACGCATCGCTGAATGCGCCAAACTATGCAAGTTTTTAGTTAGAAAGCCTTTTGGCAGTGAAAGTGCCATTATTCAACAGAAGAAGGACAGATAAAACAGCACGGCTGCTGGGGAATGAAATTACTTTTTTTTTGTAGAAAGCTTATGATGTGGAATTCTGCAGTATTTGCAGGACAGGAATATTTGATTTATTTATTGTAGCATGTATTTTGTTAGAAAATACAGTGAAAAGTGTTGTATAGTGTTACTTCTCACTGGCACCATCTTAAAACACAGAAAAATAAACCAAAACATAGAATATACAGGCAGAAAAATAAAGAAAAAATGTTCAACTTTAACAGTCCTTCTTGTTAAGTGCTTCGCCATGGGCCTGGTGGCCAGGCACGTGCTTTGCCACTAACCTGGACCTTGCCAATGCAGATGCCGCCGGGTACTGCACCAGCCCAAACTTGACTCTGCCAGTGCCGCCGGTGCCATGAGTCTGATTCGGGCCCATCTTACTGGTGCTGCAGGGTCTTGTACTGAGCCCAAACGTGCCTCCGCTGCAACCTCCTTTGCCTCCACCACAACAGACTTGAGTTGGCTCTGGACTGCCTCATTGATGCAGAAGTAGTCGTAACCCAACTCTCTCTGCCACGAGACCGTACTGGGCCCACTTGTCAACCGACACAAGGCTGGGCCTACTTGCCAGTGCTGTTGCCAGAACCGAGCTCTTCAACAAGAGGCATGAGAAACAAAAGAGAAGTAAAAAAATGAGCAAAGAGAGAAGAAACGAAAAGTGGCTGGAGCAGATGATTCTTGGGCTCAGAAGCCCTACTCTGCCGCCATCTTAGTGAAATAGGCCATTTGGCCCAACTGTTTCATGCTGTTGATGCTCCACAAGCTTTCTCCCACCATCCCATATGTCACCCATAGTGTAATCCAGCAGCAGGGTGGGTGTCACTATATGGACTACAGCAGTTCAACAAGGTGCTACCACCACTTGCTCAGGGGCAGTTAGGGGTGGACAATAGGTGATGACTTGGCCAGGACCTGACAAAGGGTTTTGCCTCGAAACATTGACTTTCTTGCTCCTCGGATGCTGTCTGACCTGCTGTGCTTTCCTAGCACCACGTTTATTGACTCTATTATCTTCCCCTTCGGGTACCAATCGAGCTTCTTAAATGCATATATGCTTTTGCCTTCATTTACTTCCCTATTCTTTTTTGGGTGAAAAGCTTTTTTCTTGAATTCCCTGTTGGAATTATTAGTGCTTATATTATTTTTATGGCTGTAAGTTCTGCTCTCCTCTACTAGTGGAAACATCTTTCTCTTCTGACATGATTTGGTTCTTTTGCTGACTATTTTAAGTCCATGTCCTTTGGTTACCCTCAAATCTGTGTCTATGGAAACAGTTTCTCTGTTTATGCTTACCAGCCCCTGACCGTTCACCATGTCTCATACTGAAACTAATCAGTAGCACTGGCCTGCTACCACAGTGGAACAGCAAGATTTGTAATCAGCTCTACACCTTGTTATCTCTTAAGCAAGATTTGTAAGACTGTTATGCATAGTGTTGCTCCACCATTACTTTAATGGTCCCTATACACACTTAAAGCAAGAGAGTTAAAAATAGTCTGACAATGTACTCGAACAAAACATGGGCCTCTATTAAAACTAGATAGTTTTATTCATATTAAAAATCTTACATGTGCACACATTTGGTACCAGTTTATAGCATTATAAATGCCTTTGGTGGGTCCATAATGGATACTGTCTGTTAACATTATACAGCACCCCTACTGGAGGGAGATTCTAATTTTAAAGTGACATGCAATAGGAAAGATGTTGTTAAATTTGAAAGGATTCAGAAAAGATTTACAAGGATGTTGCCAGGATTGGAGAGTTTGAGCTATAGGGAGAGGCTGAATGGGCTGGGGCTATTTTCCCTGAGGGGTGACTTTATTGATGTTTATAAAATCATGGATGGATAGGGTGAATAGCCAAAGTCTTTTCCCCAGGGTAGAGGAATCCAAAACTAGAGGGTATAGGTTTAAGATGAGAGAGGAAAGATATAAAAGGGACCCAAGGTGCAGTTTGCTCATGCAGAGGGTGGTGTGTGTATGGAGTGAGCTGCCAGAAGAAGTGGTGGAGGCAGGTACAATTAAGACATTTAAAAGGCATCTGGATGGGTATGTGAGTGGAAGGGTTTAGAGGGCTATGGGCCAAATGCTGACAAATGGGACTAGATTGATTTACAATATCTAATTGGTATAGACAAGTTGGACCGAAGGGTCTGTTTCCATGCTGTATGTTTCCATGACTCTTAAGTTTACATAGCTTCCTTTATGGACATAGAATTTGAAATAGCATTTATCACAGTGTGATGTGGAGAGAAGTGTATGATTCACAGATGGAGACTGATGTAGATCCCTGTTAACTCTATCTCTTTTCTCTAACTTAAGTTCTCCTAATTTATTTCCTGGCCAACTGTTTATCAGTTTCTTTTCTTTTCCTTTCTCCGATACATCGATGATATCATCGGTGCTGCTTCCCTCTCTCGTCTGGAATTGGAAAACTTCATCAATTTCGCCTCCAATTTCCACCCTGCCCTCACTTTCACCTCGTCTATCTCTGACTCCCCCCTTCCCTTCCTCGACATTTCTGTTTCCATTTCTGGGGATAGACTGGCCACTAATATCCATTACAAACCCACTGACTCCCACAGCTACCTGGACTATACATCCTCACACCCCACTTCCTGTAAAGACTCCATCCCATTCTCTCGGTTCCTCCGTCTCCATCGCCTTTGTTCAGATGAGGCCAACTTTGACAAGGGAGCCTCCGAAATGTCCACCTTCTTCCTCAACCGAGGATTCCCCAGCTCCTTTGTCGGCAGGGCCCTCAACCGGGTCCGACCCATCTCCCGTACTTCCGCCCTCACCCCTTCTGTTCCCTCCCGCAACAGCGATAGGGTTCCCCTTATCCTCAACTACCATCCCACCAGCATCCACATCCAGAAGATCATCAGACGCCATTTCCGCCACCTCCAGCAAGATGCCAGCACCAGACACATATTCCCCTCCCCTCCCTTGTCCGCCTTCCGCAGGGACCGTTCCCTCCGGAACACCCTGCACACTTTCATCACCCCCAACACCTCCCCACAGCCCTACGGCACCTTCCCCTGTAACCGACGAAGGTGCAACACCTGCACATTTACCTCCTCCCTCCCCAGAATCCAAGGGCCCAAACATACCTTTCAGGTGAAGCAACACTTCACCTGCTCTTCCAAGAATCTAGTCTACTGCATTTGCTGCTCACAATGTGGTCTCCTCTACACTGGGGAAACGAAGCGTAGACTTGGCGACTGCTTCGCAGAACATGTGTGTTCTGCTCGCAAAAAAGACCCTGAACTACCTGTTGCCTGCCACTTCAATGCACCACCTTGCTCCCTGGCCAGCATCTCTGTCTCTGGCTTGCTACAATGTTCCAGTGAAGCCCAACGCAAGCTGGAGGAACAACACCTGATTTTCCGCTTGGGGACCCTACAGCCCTCTGGACTGAATATTGAGTTCAATAATTTTAGGGCCTAAACGCTCCCATGTCCCAGCCCCCCACCCCACACACCAGGCCTTGTCACCACATTAGCCTGCCACTACACGCCCCCCGTTGTTAGTCATTAACAGTCCCCATTAACAACTACTCACCCTCCCAGCCTGATCGTTAGCAACTCCTTTGTCTGTCCAACTGTCTTTCTCTCTCTTTGGGTTCTATCCTATCATTTACTCCCTACCCCACCCACCTCCCTATTTTCTGCATATAAGCTGACTTTTTCCCAGCCACCATCAGTTCTGAGGAAGGGTCACCAGACCCGAAACGTTAACTCTGTTTTCTCCTTCTACCAGATGCTACCAGACCTGCTGAGTTTTTCCAGCAACTTTGTTTTTGTTTATCAACATCCTTTGCCAAATTAGTTCATTAGCATGGCATTAAAAGAATGATAAGAAAAACTCAGGGCATATGTTTTGTTCAGAATAAATCTGAAATGTTTAAATTGAGACTCACTCATGTAACCTCTGTGGCCTTTGTTGCTTCCTGCAGGTGGGGGCCAGTGCAGTTTTTGGCCCCTGTTGTACCATCGAGCTCCAGTCTGTGCAAGTTCTGCAGCTCCCTCCTGTCACGGCCCAGTGGCCTCCTGACCCTGGACCCATCAGCAAGGCAGCCGGAAGCTGGTGGCCTGAGCTCCCGGCTTTTCCCTTGGAGCCAGGGGCAGGTCCGGACGAAGAAACGTGGCACTGAGTACCAGCCAAAGACCATCAAGAGGATACGTACTCATGGCTGGAAGAAGCGTATCAGCACCCGGGGTGGCATCGAGGTGATACTGCGCAGGATGCTCAAGGGACGGAAATCATTGACTTATTGAGCTTCACGTGATCTTTGGAGGCATGAACTGACTGGGAATGGGCAAGCCATGCGACCATACCACACTCTGAATACCACTGTATATACTGTATTAAACTCTTTTGGTCTTACAGAATGTCTGTTTTTGTTTGATGCATTATCAGTTCAGAATTAGGGGGAATGCTGCTGGCTGATTTGCACATTAATAGTTACGTGCATCATAAACTAGCAGATACTCATCCAGAAACATTTGGGCGACCACACAATTTGCCTTGACTCACCTAGGATGAAAGGAAAGAGATAATCATCTGTAGCTCCTGTTAGAAACACAAAATGTGTACTTTGATGTGATGCCCAATAGCTGAATAGTCCAGTGATACTCAATGTCCAGCCTCACATCTAGAAGGGTTGTCTACACTAAAGACTTATTGTCAGGTGTAGATCATGTTAAATGATTTTTAAACCTTTGCATTTAGGTAAAACCTTGAGCAATTTGGGGCACATAATTTAAATGCTGCTGAATTAAACTTTTTGCATTCTTTTTAGCAGCAAGTGCTCCTGGATTTGAGTGCAAGACCCCACCTCATTACAGGTGTCTCATGTGCAAGTGTTGGGTGATTTCTTTTTTCCTCTTTCTCTTTTTCCATTTCTTATTCAACATGGAGTAACTGTGTGAAAGGTTAGCAGAGAGCCATATCCTTGATAATGCTTCCGTCCCAACGGCAGGTACAAAATCCGTCAGCAGTGTTAACGTAGCAGTTTTGTTTGCCATAGCAGCCATCATTCTGAGGTTTTTAAGCAGTATTTGGTGCCAACATCATTCATTTGGGTTTGGGGTGAAACTGTCCAAACTAATTTCCAATAATAGCTTTGTCAAATAAACTAGCCACTCATCATGTGTGCCTAATTGGAAGCCCAGATGAAGCTCATTGCTTTCTCACGTAGTGACTATTTCTGTTTTTAAAATTTACTATCAGTCTAGAATACAAGAGCAGAGATGTATTTCTGAGGCTGCATAAGGCTCTGGTCAGCCCACATTTGGAATACTTTGAGCAGTTTGGGACCCATTATCCAAGGATGGATGTGCTGGCAATGGAGGGTGTCCAGGGGAGGTTTACAAGAATGATCCTGGTGACGAGGGGTTTGTCGTATGAGGAACAGTTTGTGGACTTTGGATCTGTACTCGATGGCGTTTAAAAGGATGAGGGGGGGATCTGATTGAAACTTACAGAATACTGAGAAGCCTGAATACAGTGGACATGGAGAAGATGTTTCCACTAGTAGGAGAGACTAGGACCTGAGGGCACAGCCTCAGAGAGAAGAGACAGCCCTTTATAACTGAGATGAGGGGGAATTTCTTCAGCCACAGGGTGGTTAATCTGTAGGACACATTGTTGCAGAAGACTGAGGCAGCCAACTCATTGAATGTATTGAAGACAGAGATAGATAGGTCTTGATTAGTAAGGGGATCAAACGGTACATCGAGAAGACAAGAGAATGGAGTTGCGAAACATGAGCACCATGATTGAATAGCAGAGTAGACTTGTTTGGCCAAATTGTGCTCCTGTATCTTATGGTCTTATAGCAATCTCAATACTCGGATTTGTGCATGTGGGCTTAAATCTTTGATAACTTGTGCAAGAAGAAACAGAAAATAGGAGCAGGAGTAGGCCATTTAGCCATTCGAGCCCATTCTTTATGATCATGGTTTATCATCGAACTCTGTTCCAACATTTTCCTTATACCCTTTGATCCCTTTAGCCCTGAGAACTATATCTAACTGCCCCTTGAAAATATTAAATGTTTTGGCATCAATGGCTTTCTGTGGCAGAGAATTCCACAAGACATGTTTTGACAAAACGTTTCTCCCTGCTCTCGTCAGGATATCTTGCAAGAATACCAATACAGGGACAGCTCTGTTGTGGCACAGCGGCAGTCTCGCAAACTCTGCGCCAGAAGGTATGCGTCCAGGTCCCACATGCTGCAGGGATTTACACATCTGAATTGGTTGGTTCAAAATATTTACCAATATAGAGGAAAGTCATCCTGCATAAGAAGAAGATACTGTTTGGTTGGCAAGTGAACTCTGATGCGCAACACCACTATCAATCATTGTTCTCTCAAACAGCATAAATGTTTTTTTCCTCTGCAATTGGTATTCTTGCAAAATGTCCTGATGTGTGCAAGTTGCAAATCTTCGTCAATATGTCTTTTTTTTTCAGCAGCACTCAGGTTCTGTACCATTAAGCATCTATGTCACCCTGGTATACATTATAGGCAAAGCAGCAATTCTGCCTTTCCCTCAGCTAACTATTGAAATGAATGTGATACAGGTGAAAACATCAGATTGAGCAGCAAAGCAAAAGCACAAAGTAGGGAGGGTTATGCTAGTGTGTTTTTGGCTTGACATATCAATGACTTCTGTGGTACAATGGAATAAAGGAATCCAGCCAATATAAGCATTTTCAGCAAACAAGAATGCAACTTGTATGTTTCAATAAGGTCACCTCTCTTTCTTCTAAACACCAATGAGCACAGGTACAACTCCTTGTAAGATAATCCCTCCATACCTCAGGATCAATTTGTGGACTTCCTCCAATGCCAATATGTTTTGTTTTAGATAAGGGGGCCAAAACTGTTAATAGTCTTCCTGCTGTGGTCTAACTAATGCCTTGTATAGTTTTACCAAGACTTGCTATTGTTATACTCTGCATAGACGGCAAGGGGAGGGGATCGGAATGAATAACAGATGGAGTCTGGAGGGATTGGGCAAGGAGGATGATCTGAGATGTTGGGGGAACAAGGCTGTGGTTCACAGCTTGTGGAGGAGTTGTCTTGAAACATAAATGGGAATTGGATGGAGGCCAGTTCCACAGTGCTTCTCCAGCAGACAGTAAGTTAAACCTGGCGACAGTGGTTTGGCACTGAATTAGCTTGTTTCTGGAGAGAATGAATCTGTCCTTCACTCACTCTTGTGAGAAAGGCCACTGTGAATTAAATATATTTTGATGCTATCAAAGCTTTATATCAATGCCAAAGGCCCATCAGCTCATTTCAGCTTCACCAACCCAGCATTACAATTCTACCATCTCCCTATTGAAGCATTGGCTGTTTCTTACATGCATCCAGTATCAATAAAACTTACAGCACAGGATGAGGCCAATCGGCCCAAACTGCCTTACAGAAGACCTGTCTAATTAGTCCCACTCCCCTGCTTCTTCCTTATAACCCTACAATCTTTCCTAGCCACAATCTCTGAAGATCCTGATACCAGCTATCATTCGCCCACTTTTTGATGTGTCTAAAACTTGTTCTTCTCAATACAATCCTTGTGCCCTCCCCCCACCTCTGTCATGCATTCTTCGGAGCTTTTGTAGACACTGCTGCTGGTTTGCCCATTCTATTCCATCAAGTGTGTTTCCAAGCAATGTAAATACTGGATTCAGCCATGTTGCTTTCTTTTGCAGTACCTCTGGCCCTAGAGTTTGTCTAATTTGATCACTTTCCTGGTCGTAGGAATCAGGGAACATAAGAATAGGGTATTCTGCCCCTCAAACCTACTCCATCATTCAATACCATATTACCATGCTATTCCCATATCCCTGAGTATTGTTCACAACTAGATGTCTTTCTGTGTCTTCAAAATTAATGACTAGACTTCCACAGCCTTCTGGAGTAGGGAATTCAAAAGATTTGCAACTCTTTGAAAACATTTCTCCTCATCTCAGTCCAAAATGGCTTGTCCTTTGGTTGAGACTGAGCCCTATGGTTCTAAACCTTATGACTAGGGAAACAGCCCTTTTACATTGACTCTGTCTGTCACTTACAGAATTTTGTAAGTCTCCATGAGATCTCCTCAGAGGTCAATCCCACATCCCAGGAATCTCTGTTGCAGACATCTGACAAGTATATCCTTCCTTCGGCAAGGGGACAAGAACTGCTCAAAATACTGCAGTCTCACTAGACTTCTATATAGTTGAACCGAGACTTTTTTGCTTTTGTACTTAACTATTGTTGCTATAAAGGCTGACATGATGTTTGCCTTCCAAATTGCTTGTTGTACCTACATGTTGCTTTCAATGACTTATGATTAAAGACAGGTCCCTTTGGATATGAACACTTACCAATCTGTTACCATTCAACAAATGTTCTGCACCTATCTCCTCCTACCAATCTGGATAACCTCACACTTAACCACACCATATTCCATCTGCCATGTTCTTGCCCACTCATAGCCCTTAAAAATCCCCCAAATCCTCGTTACATTCTCCTCACAACTCATATTCCCACCAGGTTTTGTTTGGAGGTGAAAATATTATGTCCATATCCTTAATAAAGATTGTAAACATCTGGGGTGCAAGCATTGATCCTTGAGAATGATCCCTTTGTTTCTGCTATCTGCCTAATTAACCAATCTTCAGTCCTTACTTGTATATTACAACCAATTCTATGCACTTTAATTTTGTTCACTAACCTCTTTTTGTGGATTTTGCTAAAACCTTCTGAAAATCCAAATATCACCACATCTACTTGTTCCCCCTTATCAACTCTACTAGTGACATCCTCAAAAAATATCATGTTTGTCAAACAAGATTTCCCCTTCATAAATCTATGTTAGAAATCACACAGCACCAGATTATAATTCAACTGGTTTATTTAAAAACACAAATTTTTGGAGCCTCACTCCTCCTTTAGGTGTTAGACTATAACCTGGTGTCATGTGATTTCTGACCTTGTCCACCCCAGTCCAACACCAGCACCTCCACATCATAAATCTATGTTGACTCTGCTCAATCAGACAGTTATTTTCTAAATAACCAGGAGTCATGTCCTGTTCTGAGCATGTTATCTTTCCCTTGTCAGCTACGGCTCAGTAAATAGCTCTCCCTTGACCCTCAGTCAGAACGTTATGGGTTCAGGATCCACTTCAAAGATTTCAACAGACTATCTAGGCTGACAAAACCAGTATAGCACAGAAGGAACATCATACTGCCAAGTGTTGTCATTTGAATGAAATATTAAGTCAAGGACCCATCCGCTGTCTTGGCCAGGTGGAAGATAAAAATTTTATGGTACTATTTCAAAGAAGAGAAAAGGAGTTAACTCCTGAACAGTATGTATCACCATCAACAG